GTGTTAAGCCAATTTGATTAAAAAGAAAAAAAAAGTGGCCCAACGGAAACGACTTTCATGTCGCGACGCTCATTGATGACGCCATTCACACGAGACGGCCATCGAGATCCAAACAAACATCTTTAGCTGAATGTGGCTAGCCAAATGTTACCATGAGCAGCTTTGAGGAATAGCTTAGTAGTATTTGGAGGTGACAATGATTTCGGTCAGCTATATTCTGATGTGCGGACAGTTCCTGCTGCTATTAACGGCCATATTGTTACAATGTTTGGAAGGAATCCACTCGCAAAATTCGACGACAACGGAGACTCCTGCTTCTTCTCCCGGTCCGGTTTCTACTTTGCTCCCCTCCAGCGAACCGCCCGACAGTGCAAACTATACGGATCTCGAGTACAAACCTCCGTCACCTGTTGTCCTCTGCAGTTATCTGTAAGTAACTCAGAGATGCTGTTAACTGGAAGTAGCTATTAGCATGTTAGCATTGGGCAATGCTAACTCTAAACTGACACAGAACTACGTTTATAAATCTGCCAATTCATGCCTACCTACGCACCAGTAACACTGAACTGGAAGCACCGCATTTCCCCTCCCAAACTTATTTTTGGTTAAAAAAAACATTTGTTGATAGATTCCAATATAATATCATCAAAACTCGGGCAGTCTTTACACATCTCAGTTTGGCTTGACTACACACCGTAGTTTTTTTTTTTTTTTTAAAAAAAACTATACCTCTGTGTCTTTTGCTTTCTTTCTAAATTCAATGTGTGGTGAAGACCGGAGGAATTCATCTACTGTCAAGACCCTGTGGATCACGCGGGCAACTACACTGCCTATCAGGAGATGGAACATGTTGGTTGCATCGGGGTAGGTATTGTTGGTGTTTAGGACATTATACTGTTAGTTAGTGTTGAGTAATCGAGAACATGTCTGACTTTGCGCCTTTTATCTCTATCTAGTGGGGTGGCCAGACCCAAAAAGAGGTGAACCACACACGGGTTTTCTGCACTGCACTCGATGATATAGAATGTGCCGGACCCAGAGAGTTCCTCAGAGAGAATGTACCCTGCATCAAGTAAGAGATGCCACACTGGATAAACAGCTGTTACCTCATATAAAACCATCTTAAGTTCTCTGGGTTCATTTTAGAGTGGATCTGCATCATATTCAAATGTTCAAACATTGCCTCTGTGTCCATATGCATCCAAAATATGTAAATGGTAAATGGACTGGTTCTTATATAGCGCTTTTCTACTCTTCTGAGCACTCAAAGCGCTTTACACAACTTGTGCATTCACCCATTCACACCCATTCGCACAAGCACATTGATCTAAGTGCTTTCTAAGTAACATTCACACATATTCATACTCCGATGGATGCATCGGAGAGCAATTTGGGGTTAATATCTTGCCCAAGGATATTTGGCATGCAGACTAGGGGAAGCCAGGAATCGAACCACCAACCTTCCGATCAGTAGATGACCTGCTCTACCACCTGAGCTACAGAACAAACAGATAATTGTTCAGTGAATGTAAACATGAATCAGCTGCTTTGCTCAGTATTTCCATTACACCAGAACACAGGAATCACTTGGGCTTTGATTTACAGTATGTATGTTGAAAAGAATGTCTGTCCAGGTTTTTAGTTATCCAGGTAATGGTAGTCTTGAGAACTTGAAAAACGAAGGCCGCTGCACTTCAGGTTTATGAAGTCATCCAACAGGCTTCTTCAGATCTAAAATAACAAGCTGAGCGGGCCAGCTACTTAACTCCTAGTATGGTTGCACCCCTTTGGAGGTGGTCTCTGAAGGGTTGTTGACTACTATTGACCTACTGTTGAGCATGTGAGTTGTCAAATGAGCCAAAGTATTTAAAAGGATATTAGTCATTTTTGTCTCCAGGTCCAATGAGTCAAACCTCTGTGAGACATTGCCACACCCCACCATCATGTGAGCTATTAAGGTCACCTGAAGCAAGTTGTGAGTGGGGTCAAAATGCCAGGAAAGGGATCTTAAGACTGCACTGTAGGTGGCTCATAGTTTCTATATGAGGCTCCTTTACTTCTCTCAAACCATCTGTCTTCTCTGTCCAAAATGCGAACATTGGCATTCTGGAAAGAGTGACCTTTATCCTTTAGATGCAGATGTACAGCTGAGCCTTGTCCTGTTGAGATGATTCTATGAATTTGTTGCTTGTGTTTGGGTGTTTTGTCTGACGGTGTTGTTAGGTCAGGAGTAGGGGTGGGCGGTATAAACGGTATACGGTAGAAACAATATAAATTTGGCCAGCGGTAGAGATTTTGACTATACCGCTCTACCACAATAGCACATGTTGATGGTGTCACCAAGCGGCACCTGTTTTGGTCGAAAGCATTGGAGCGGCTGCAAACAATATCATCTGCAAATTATGCTGGGCGACAGTAGTAGCAAAGAGACAACGCACTTTTGGAATATGGGGAAAGCCAAAAACTTTGCTTCCTCTACTTCCGTACCATTGATTCATTAATGCTAAATTCTCTCGCAGCTGCTCTATCCTCATGTTGTTGCAGTATGTTAATGACTAACCTCGTATTGTGAATGGATTATCTCAGTTGTCCTTCTGACTGAAGTTTGGTCCGTTTATAGCATCCTGCCATGCAATTGCATTTGTCCCTAACCACCAGAAACCCTACGTTAACTTTTATCGAATGGAAAAATGTTAGCATTCATCCTTCAGCTTCACTGTGCTAATGTTATGCTAATGTAGCTGTTTTGCTAGCAATCACGTAGGACATCATTATACACCAGCTAGTCCAACTTCAGTAATCCTACAAACATCACTGCTGTTTAGTTTTCTCTCTTCATTTATGTTGGAAGTGATAGCAGAGCTGTACGTTTTAATTTTTTCAGAAATCTCTCAGTCAGAACATGGCATATCATGTTTAGCTTACCAAAGTTGTACTAGAACATTTTTTGACAGATTTCTGCGCGCCGTGTGCTGCATAAAATTGGTTCAATCAGTAAGCACAACCAGAATTCCTACATAAGGCACACTGTTGATTTTTGAGAAAATGAAAGGATTTTAAGTGTGTAAAATACGTTGTACAGAAGAAAAGAAAATATATTCTTTTCTTCTTGTACAGAAGAAAAGAATATATCGCGATATATATCGTTACCGCACATGCTTCAAATTATACCGTGATATGGATTTTAAGCCATATCACCCAGCCCTAGTCAGAAGTACATTGCACTGGAACCCTGTTGGGCAGCAGCACGCGAGGGAGTCATTTTTAACCCAGGGCGATCCAGTATATGAATGTCATTCTTGTTGATCTGCATGTTTGGCCTAGATTTGTACGCTGGATGCCTTTCCTGACTTGCCCCTCCTTACAAGTCAGTGTCTTTGATGTAAACTATGGGTTTTAGTGGAAATCTAGTAGCGACCAAAGCAATCACAAGGTTGTTTTCGTTGCATCACCTTGTTTGTGACCAGTTTCAGCACGTGATTGCCAGGGTGTTGTGCAGTAGTCTGTAGTCCATACATGGGTAGCATGTATTTAAATATATAAATGGCTGCTCCTGAGTTTCCCCTATCTGTAGATTTTTTTTCTAGTTTTACTCTACTGTAGAGTTCTCACATATGGTCATAGTTTTGGATATTTACACCTAGAGCTGTGCAATATGACCAAAATCACATATCCCAATATAAGACATCTAT